CTTTTTTTCTTTAAAGCTGAACATCCATGACGGTGTAAAGTGGACAAACTCCGATTAGGGTGATCTTTGGCTACTTGTACAATTTTTTTTTCCAGCGGTATAAACACAACTTTTTTTCTTTAACGGTGATTTTAAATCATTTTCACTAGAATCTTCATTATCTTCTTCAGTATTAGACGCTGGTGTAGTATTTAATTCACTAAAAGATTGATCCAATGATGTTGATGGTGTACCTTCTAATGAATTTACATCTTTTGGTAAGTAATCTTCATTATAAAAGTACAGCTTATTATTTGTTTCCAATTTAAAATCACTAAATGTTTCAATTATAGTATTTGCGAATACTTGGCCCATAAGTCGAGCATTTTTTTGTATTATATTACAAGCACATTTCTCAACTATATTTGACGACAATATTCTAATGAGTCCGTCAGTTCCAATTTGTCGTAGGTATCGGATAGTAACAATACGTTCAACACAAAATTTTTCATTTTATTTTAATATTTAAATAATTTATTTAAAATCAGAATAATCAAAATAAACACATGTGACACAAAAATACGGAACATACAAGGTACACTAAAACTGTCTGTCATCTAACTGTGACACGGCCTGTAAGTGCATGTTTCCGTTATTAGCGATTAAATGTGCGCCCGGTCGTGTTATCAACTGTCCACCGTCTCACTGCAGGTGGGAACGATAAACTACTATATCGGCCGTCGGTGTATGAAGAGGTCCGGGGGGTGTCATTTTTACAGCGAAACATGGCGGCGATGACCACTGTAGGTAATCCGATAATCAGTTATTGATTTAACATTGGTCCGCGATTGCCACCCGCCGCCGTCCCGCGTATTCACGTATTTCCACGTTTTTTCTAAGTTAAAAAAAATAAAAAAAAACCTTAACCTTTTGATTCGGTTTTTATATTTACTTCAACCCCCCCCCCCTTTCTACCGTGTCAAGTTAAATGCAATTGAAAAACCGGGCCTTAGTGAACTAAATTCTAAATTAAGCGGCATAGCGGCCTCCTTAGAGTCACAAATAATCTTTACAGGCCGAATAAAGTTAGAGCGATGCTTTCCAAGGCGAACATATAATTTTTTAATAATAGTCGAACCATTGTGAACACAACATCTATGAATTGTTTTAAGTCAGATATTAAACACTACAATATTAGCCAGAAACTTGATGTTTAATTATACTAGCTTGTTACTGCTTCCTAATATACTATATCAGTATCTATAATTCCACCACTACTCTAAATTTATTTGGTACTTCAACGAGACATGAAAATGCTCTTTCGTGGTTGCAGACTCGGCTGAAAAACACTGTCACTCGCATCACTCTACATAGTTTTTTATATTACAATAACACATTGGCACATATATTTAAACTTAACTGAAAATACAGATCGCAAATTTAATGGCCGAGAGCGTTAAACGTCAGAGAGTCACTGTTTCTAGCATCTCAGAAGATAGTGAAAAAAAGGAAGAGAGATAAAGAGCCAGTGCAAGTTATCAGCCAGTTCGAGATATCGCGTTTTTGAATATTTTTGAGGTTATGTTGTTGTAAAATAACTTGGGAATAGATTCTAAATATATAATAATTATAAAAAAATTGTTATACAATCAACAGTACGAGAAGTATAATAAATGATGAAAAACCGAATGCAATGCAGGTTATCAAGTACTTTTAAGGGTAGAAATGTATTCTGTAGTAATAAAATATAAATATTTTATAATTTTTTAGACTTCTTACATAATAAATAACAATAAAAGTTGTAAAAAAATGCAAAATGTGTTGAGAGGGGATCCGGATTTGAACCTGGTACCATTCACTCCTGGGAATCGATCACGCTCGACCGCACCACATTTAGTTTTCATAACGCGTTACATTTTTTCTCGGCTAGGTTCCCTCGCCAACCCGCGATAAGGATCTTCGTTCCAAAAAACATCGCAAAATATGAAGATGAAAAATTGTGATATATGAACATGTTAACATTAAACGCGGCGAGAAATTTTGAAATTTTCATGAATTTCAAATGAATATAACTTTAACATATTAATAAAAAATCAATTTTTTTTTACTAATTCTTTTTTAAAAACTATTCTAAATAAAATGGCTATCTTGAAAATAAAAAAAAATTATTTAAAAAGTAGAACAGGTAAGTGCAATAAAAAACGTGGTGCTTTAGCGCAAATGAGTATAAATTATAGAAAAAAAAAATCTTAATTTGTCAAATCATCCTGGGCCACCCTGTATACAAAGAAATGTAATAAATATATTTTTAGTTTAAATATTTTAACTTTGTCAGAGTTATAAAGTTGGCCTTACCTGTGTATTTTTTTACAAAAATTTGATTAAGATCATTAAAAGACATGTTTTTGGGTAAATAAAAAACAATTGCTGGTCTTAAACAAAATTGTTTTGATTTAATTTAATTTTTCGTTGCTATTCAATTGCACACACTTAACTGTTATTATTCAAAACAAACCGTTATGATTAATTATGATTCGTAATTATTAGTGGAGCGTTGTGTAGTTTTCGCAACCGCTAAAATGAAGTTTTGTCTCGATGTCACCACTAACATCATCCAAAAAATAGTGCTTGCGTATACTACATCGTTTTTGTATAGCACCATCTCTGAGTCTGTGCCAACGTGTCCAACAACAAATGTAGGTTGGAAGATTTTTCCCTTCGACGAAAAATTCAACGTTTCGTCAACATTGTTCATGATTAGCGCTGTGATAGTCATCTCAAAAATGAACCTATGGCCGTGCAACATAAAACCACAAAACAGATTCGTTCGGTTTACAGCAGAAGTAAAGATTTTTGTAAAAAAAAAAAAAACATGTAAAATAAATACCCATAACGTTTGTTACACACGCAGGTGCACGTCAAGACCATACTAGTTTTGCTGCTGTACGCAACATTTTGGCATCCTATCGTAATGGCTATATCGGTTTACACGGACTTCCTCGCTAAATTGGTGAGGAAAACCACACACTTGGACTATGCAAATCCCACATTTCCTAACACCCGTGTTAGATCGCTAAAACGAATAAGTGTTATAGGCAAACTATTACTTACTTCATTTACTAAAGAAAAAAAATATTTTTCTCTTTCATATTTATCAATTGATAACGGTTGAAGCTATAAAATTGAGATACCCAGATGATCTAATAGAAGTTCTATGCAAAATTGAGTTCGACTTCTCAGTACATGATGATAGTGGTCTCCATTGCTTAGGTCTGCATGATTCACCCCTTAACAAAATTACAATTCATGTTCGTATTTTATAAATATTTAATAGCGTATCAAATATCCTGTATTATCCAATATTTGATGGATGTATCACTACGTTAAAATATCGGTATCAAAACAAATATAACATCAATTCTGCTTTTTCTTTTCTCATTCCATGTCTTAATAGTTAATACGATAATTTCTAAATGAAAATCAAATGAAATATAATTTAGTAATTTGTTTTATTGTATTAAAAGACTCAAAGCTGGACGAAAAGGTCAAACATATTGTTAAAGAGTTGCCCTGTGTGTCTAGAGAACGTTAGAAGCACAAAGTTCAACGCCATTATTTTGTCCATGATACTATTGTTCAACATACTGAGGACGCCGGGCCTGACATAGATATATTAATTCATGGAAAACTAAAGACTACGTTCATCGAGATTTACAAAAGATTACCGAAGTATGATGGCAGTCTGAAAACCGCTAATAACAAAACGCACAATATATATTAATTTTTAAACGGATAAGAATTCAAGATGTTCAAAACTTTTTTATCCTACCACACTACCTCCTTCACACAATACTGAATTATAAGCAGTTGCGTTTTGCCGATAATTGAAATTAGTAACTCTGGATCGTCTGTCAGCTAAAGAATACTAAGCGTGTCATACCAATCGACTGATAACATTATGCATGGCTTTTCATCATTAAAAGCATCTTTATCAAATCTCAATATCTCAGTGAAACGCTAAAGTAGTCATAAAACAGATGCACCGATGTGACGTCTAAAATAATATTTTTAGTTTATAGGGCATTTTATGTTTCCCTAGATTTCATTGTAGTGTAATTTCGTGATGACTAAATTTTCGAAAATATCGATACGATATTTTATTATAATATCTATATAATATTATGTCAAGCATAAAATATCTATATTTAAGATTTATATCGATAAATTCACAATATTTGTTGTTAGTTTACAAAGTTATTGTGTATCCTAATTCATACTTTATAGTTCAATATATTTGTATAAACTCTTTGAACATGTAGCATTGTGTGCATACATATCTAGTTTTGTGCATTGATATATAAAAAGAAATTCAGGCAATTCCGGCGGAACTTATAAAAAATCGTCGAGAACATACCAAAAAGATAATTTATGAACTGATCCAAAAAAAGCTATGAAACTGGTCAAGTACCAAGTGATTTTAAAAAGTGCATAATTGTACCAATTCTAAAGAAAACAAAGTATTTTCAAACAACAAAGAACAGAGTTGCTATGTTATTTTTTAAACCATCAATATTTTTTAACTGTATGGTTTAAACTAGAGCTTACGATTACACGGGTACCCGTGTAAATAAGAGACCCGGATCTAAACCCGGATATTTTTAATTAAAAACCACAGTTATTCAGGTATTAACTAGAATTTGTTCTTATAGTTGTACTTATGTTTAGAAATATATTTTTTTCATTTAAATAATAAGCCCCAAAATCAACGACCAATGGCTAAAATGTGTTTACGATGTTATAATTTCAACAATAAGTTTTAAATATAATATTTATAAAAGATTTTAAATCCTTATAATAATAAAACGTTACTGGTAGGGTATTCGTTTTTTCCAGGCTGCGTCCGGCAGCTGTTCGTTTTTTCCACGGCCAGATATACGATTTCAAAGCCGCCGCGGATTTCGTCTGGGCCATTGATAACGCATTGATAACGGCGCACCGCGTGCGGCGGTCGTGTTGTTTATCTCCGAACGGATAAACGTGAAACGTGTCTTAAATATTAACGGAAAAAGTATTTTCTATGGTCAGTGTTTGCGGTTGGGTTTTGGAGTTGAAAAAGTAACGTTCTTTCGGTATGTATACATTACGTTTTTAATATTTCATCGTCGTTTGAATTTCTATTGAACTTCTGATGCAGTCGTGTCTTAAAAAAATTAATATAACATAAACGATTGATAAACACCGCTATGGCATGTGATAGTAGCGGTATATTATTTTTTCGTTGTGTATATTTGTAATTACCTTCCTACTTATTTTCTATGTATGTGCATAATTTGTTTTAGGCTGTTCCCAGTGGGTATACCTACTCTGCGACACTTTCGTTTGCCGGTAAGCGTTAATATTCTATCTATCTACTCTGTATTTGAATACGACAAATACTACAATTACTAATTATTATTATTGTTATACTTTTAAAGGCGTTGTGGAAGTTCTGTCGTCTCATGAAGTCCACAATTAAATTTTCTGTGGCCGTCGAAAAATCTCTGCGGTTAAGGTTAGGCATCTCTTCTTAAATCCATTTAATTTACCCATGTATTTGTATATAATAATATTTGCACAATGATTAGATACTTTGTTAATGAGTAAAACATTATACATTTGTTTTATATTTTAAATAACACCTGGGGCTAATTTTGTGTGCTTAAAATTTATATACATTAATTGACATAAAGTATTGCCTTCAGACATATTATTTTAGCGTTCAACATTCTATGTTGTTAGACCGTTTTTTAAAGGAGTTTATTGTATAAATTCTTTTTTTTTAGTTGCTGTTGGTGTAGATATAACTTAATCATACACTTTATCTTTATAATAATAATAATATTGTCAATAATTTTTCATTTAATAGGTGATTAAATTATAATATCTGAGACACGTCAACATTTCATTTACTATTTCATTATTTACAGAAGTATTCGCTCCACCCTAAAAAATTTGCTATTGCTATTTTTTTTTTTTTATTGATAATACATAATGAAAAATAAAATTATTTTAAAATTCAATTATTATCATTTAGTAAGATTAATTGTTGGTTAGCCATCTAAAAATATGTCTCTGTCAAGTATCAAATAATACAGGTGTTTGATGCACTGAATATTATTATTATTATGTAACTATCCATATCTAAACACTTAAAAGTTAATATAAGGGTGTGTCTTAATTTTAGCCAGTTATTGTTGTAGGCAATTAAATTGAATTTACAAATAATTAACACCAATTTAAATAATTAAATTAAACTCTTATATTTATTAATTAATTTATATATGGTAGTGCTCTAACGTAACTAATATCGATCAATTAATATCATTTTGATTTAAACGGTTAGGTTAGGTTATTAATTGATCAGAATTTTTGTTTCAGTAGTTATTCATTTTGATGCTGATTGAAGGATAGTTTGCTTTCTAATGTTACCACTTCATTTTTCTACGTTGGATTCACCAATTTGAGAAGACTGTTAATCTGTGATACGATACAAGCCAAATATTTTGACCGTTGGAAACGACCAGTATTGGTATGTCTAATTACATTCTTATACATAAACAACATATACTAACTACATACGCATATATTTAACTTTTTACAGTGTCTGTTGATTTCCATGCCTGCCGAAAAATGATAAGAATGCCAAATTGGATGCAAGATCACTTTGTTGATGTTACAAACTCATTTAGCAAATTATAAAACTAATAACTTATTATTTATATTTTTAACTGCCAATTTTAAAATAATTGTATGATTGTTGATGTAAAATATTTCAAGATGCATTTGCAATATTTTTTGTACTATTGTAATTCGAATATTACACTTTGGTTAGATTAGATTAACTTATAATTTGTGCTATTCATTCTATTATAACTAATTTAGGTACATTTCAATTTTTTTTTAAATTTATATTTCATAATGAAAAATAAAACTATATTGACATTTTTAATTATGATCATTTAGTAGGACGAACTGTTGGTTAGCCATCTAAAAAAATATCATTTTATGGATTTAAATATATGGATTAAAAAAATATGAATGTATATTAATTTATCTATTACATAGAAAATATGTCACTGGATAAGTATAAAATAATATAGGTATTTGATTTGATGCACTGAATATTTTTATTATTATAATTATTATTATGTAACTCTCCAGATCTAAAAACTTAAAAGGTTTGCATCGAGACATTTTATTTAACCTCTCTTTGGACGTTTTTATAAGCACTGTCGTCAAATAGTCAATCAAAAATCCAAACAATGTTTTTATCACTTCACTTCTTTCCCTTTTAAGTTTTATTATATACAGATTGACCTCTAGACATTTCATTCATGTTTTTTACTCTTGAGTTCTCTTAAACACTTCAACTTCTGTTAAACCACCAGACTTTTAATATACATATTTAATGCATTATGCTGATATTTACATTCTAAACGTACAGTACGTCATTATCGGGTAATGGCATAGACGGTGATTTCTGAACAAATAAGGATTTTAATTCAACCAATATCAAGACATAACGTACTACGTTTGATACATTTTTGTTATAGGTATCTACAATACACCAGACATTCGATATTTAAGCCTATCGGCCTCTAGACATTACGTTCTCTTTTAAACCATCGCTTACTAAGCCCGTGAAGTAAGCAACACCAGATACTTGATTTTTAACTGTCTGATTTTATACATTTCTTTTAATCTAATGATGCAAGGAGCGCCAACTACTCAAATTTTTATAGGTACATAGATCGTTTCTGATCCGACAAATAGCTAGACACACTACAGTTAAACAGTTAGCTTGGAAAATATTTTCTTGAACCTAGGTATGAATTCTGATAGCTTGATATATATGATACCTATATATAGACATATAAATATAGGTACTATGAATTATAACGGCATTACTTTAAAACGTAATACGCTGGCTCGACACCGTGGCCGGCGTAGCCAGGTACCCCCCTCAGAACCGCTGTGTACTGACATATAACATACTACGTTTGAACAAATTTTGTTTCACAAAGGTAAACCATAACAGACATTTAGCCGACTGACCTCTAGACATTTTTATCTGTTTTCAACTCATAAAGTTAAGCGTGATGACACCACTTTACTTAAACTTAATTTTAAACCTGTAACCTCCTCCTAGGCTGTAGCCTACAAACCTAGGATATTTTTAGTTAGCGGAGCGAAGCGACGCACATGGGCAAAAAAGCTGATTTAGGCGGATAAAAGTCATTCTCAGAATTGTTCTCCATTTAATGCTAGTTGTTTTTTTTTATAGTTGTGAAACCCAGAAACAGCATAGCTCCCGTTGAAAATTTATTCATAATTATTAATATGTGACGGTTTTAAGACATGGTTGAACAAATTTATGTTATCTCGCATTGTTATCAGCGTCCATTCTGTTGCTTATCAGTTGTAATAATTATTACAACCACAGATTATATGAAAACAGATTGTTCACTTTCGATGTAAATAAAAAATGAGCTGATAAGCACTCCGCCGAAACCAGTGTGACCATGTCAGCCGGAACGAAATTATCGAACTTGTATTTACCACAAATTATATGATTATTTCATAATATAATCTGTGTATTTACCATATTAAATGTTAAAAAAATAATAAATGTTATATAGGTAATAATATTGACCCCATCGAAAACACTATCATTATCTCAAAAACATTTCATTATTAAACATTGATATATATATATATATATATATATATATATATATCAGTGTTGGAAAGAATGCATTTATTGGATTCCATTCCTTTTTAGAGGAATGCAATCATGAATGCATTAGATTTAGTTTTAAGGAATGAGGAATGGGAATTAATTAATTTTATGTCGGAATGTGAATGAATTCTAAAAAAAACACTTCATGGCTAATTAGTAATTTTTAATTGACTGTAATTTACTAATTCATATTTAATTTATGATATATTTTATACATTTTTTCATAGCAAATTAACAGATTGATGAACAGTAAATAATCAAATACTACCATTTTTTAAACAGTTTTATAGGAATTAATTTTCTAAGAAAATTAATATCTTACATCAGATGAATAACCCTGCAGTTTATACAAGGTGATCTTTTGGTTGACATTATTATTATGACCAAAAATAATTAAAATTATTAAAACATATTTTTATACTTAAATTTGTATGCTAGCTTGCTTCGAAATAATCAAATAATTTTGATTTTTATATGCCTAATACAAACGTTGTTTAAAAACATCAAAATATGTAGATAAAGGAAAACACTTTTATTTTATATTATTAACTTTCTTTTGTATTTTCCGGAGCTCTATCAACTTTTGAAACTAATAACTAGTAAACTGGTTTACTGGCGCTTCTTCTATTGTAACACATTTAGCTATGATATAATAGACACTTCACATTACACGTGCGGAATCTAGGGTACATAAAATATCATTTATCTTCCCCTGTGGTAGGGATGGTACATTTTACATAGAATGCTTACATCTAGCTCGACAAATAAAATAAAAGTTTGTTCCCAGAAAGAGCTAAATTTTTGTCACCTTTATACTTTTCTACTAGTAATTTTTGTGTAATAATTGTTATTTGTTTGTGAGTTTTTAATTTTTATAATGACTTCATGTTCGGTACAATTTTGCGAGAATAAAATGTCGATAAATTTAAATAGCATCAGCTATTTTAGATTTCCAACTGATCCGCAAAGGTAAGCATTTATAATTATTTTATTTTATAATTGATCTTTTAATTTTCAACTTATATAATATATTTATACAATAATTTACTGTATAAGGTGTAAAAAATGGTTAGAGAGTTGTCAAGCGACACACCTCTACCATAAAGATCCAATGATTTTGTCCAAAAGTTACCGGGTATGTGGAGTAAATTTTGAAGACAACATGTTTCTAAATCCACACATAAGAAACAGATTAACGCTGAGTGCTGTACCAACGTTATTTAGTGGTAAGAATTATTAAAATTAATTTCTTTAAAAAATAATTTAAGTGGTGAGAAACAAAACTTACTAGTAATTTGTTTAAAAGAAATAATTTGGTTTTTTTTTATGGGTACAAATAATTTATATTAAATTATGTGTTCAAGTAGTCCTATTCCAATTTTCAAAATAAATTATTTCATTTTCCAACCCCTTATAAGTAATAATTTAAAAATGAATAATAAATATACATATCCAGGGTGTAACACGATGATGTGACAAATTAAATAACTTTTGTTCAAGTGAATATTTGTAAGATTTTTTTTTTGTTTAATGAATTTATTTAAAAATCTATAATAAATAGCATAGAAGTTTCGAAATAAATTGTTTTGAACTAACCATATCCTATAATTTTAGTAATTATAAAAATTTACGGACATCTATTATTTTATAAAATGTCAATAACTTAAAAAATATTACAAATATTAAAAAAAGCTTCAAACAAAAAATGTTTATGGCATAATTATCTATTAAAAAGTATTCTTACAATTTTTTTTAGACAACATTGAAAAATAATATGTGATATGTTGCTCACGTTACATGTGTAATATTATGTACGATAAATAAAATTATTCATGTAAAAAGATGTAAAAAATATATTTTTTTTTAAATATGCCGAAGTTCATATTGATTTTTTCGTAAAACTATTTGTTTGAATAAAAAAGTATAAGAAAACTAAAAAAAAAAATGTGGTTGTGAATTTTTTCCCCTATTTTGAAAAACGTTTAAACAGTATTTTTAAGACATTAAATTTCTTGTCGAAATATATGGTTTGGCCATATTTTTTATTCTTACCAATTCAATTAGTCCTATAAAATATTATTCATTATTATTAGTAAGTAAAACAATAAACTAAATTAACTATTGGTCAATAGATGATATCCTTGCGGAAAGAGGAAAGGAGGCGAAAGAAATAGAACAGGAAAACATTACATTTAACATCGAAGCTGGCGCTTCTTGTTCAAGCCCTGTTGCTCACTCACTATCCCCTCATGTATCATTACCAAACGAGGTTATAAATGAGAGTTCTTGGAGTAGCCTACAAGCCTCGGCCAGCACATCGTCATGTCAAACACCATTATATCTTACACAAAAAACACCGAGAAAAATGAAACTGCTTGATGAGGTACGTATTAAAACACAAGAAAATAAAGAGCTACAAAAAAAATGTGACGTCTTAACTCAACAAATATCACAAACTGATACAATTGAAAATATGGTTAATTTATGTGAAAAATATTTACCACCTAGTTTAGTTTTAATTATTAAAAGTCATGTAAGTCGTGTCAATAAAAATATTCCTGGCTATATATATACTAATGAATTCAAACAATTGGCTCTTACTATATATTTTTTAGGTCCAAAAGTATATAAATTCTTACAATCTACTCTTGCCCTTCCTTCGCCGATAACATTAAGACGTGTCACTAAACGATACGAACTTTATCCTGGTCTTAACGATTTTTTGTTTGATTTTTTATCATTTATAACGAAACATTTTGTAACTGAGTCATTAGAATGCGTGTTGTGTGCTGACGAGATGTCATTAAAAAGTCATTTATTTTATAATGTTAGTAAAGACGAGATAATAGGTTTTAACGATACAAAAAATCGCAAATCCTATGACCCTGCTAAGTTTGTGCTTGTTTTGATGTTAAGAGGTATCAATATTACTTGGAAGCAGCCTATAGCATATTTTTTCATAACTAATAGTTGTACAGGTTTCGATTTACAGGACATAATTTTATCGAGTATTTTAAAATTACAAACTATAAATATTAACGTAAAAGCGTTTATAACTGATATGGGATTAAATTTCTTAGGATTATCAAACACTTTACAAGTTAGTCCTACGAAACCATATTTTGAAATTAACAACCTACAAGTTGTTTATATATTTGACCCTCCCCATTTATTAAAAGCTACCCGGAACATGTTTTTTCAACATAATTTTAAATTTGATGGCTACTTAATTGTAAAAAAACATTTGATTACTTTTTACTCTGAAGACAGCAAAAATAATTTGAGTGCGGCTCCTAAATTAACACACTCTCATATCTTCCCCGAGCCCTTTGAAAAAATGCGTGTTTATTTAGCCGCCCAAGTATTTAGTATGAGTGTCACTGCTAGAAAGAAAGCCTTTAAAGAATTAAACAATTTACCTGATGCATCACTGCCCACAATTAATTTTATTGAAAATATGGACAAATTGTTTGACATATTTAATTCATCAAAGCGACCCGACTTAAAATATTTTAATAGACCTTTTAAAAATACTGAATTTCAATATGCGCACTTAAAATGCATGGAAAGATTTTTTTCTCAATTACAAGTATACAACAAAACTAACAACTTAAACGTAACCAGCAGGATGAAATTTATTAAAGGTTGGTTAATTTCAATTGCTGGCTTATTGCAGTTATGGACGTCACTAAAAAAAAATCATACCGATAACAATTATGTTCTGTACACAAATCAAATTAACCAGGACTGCTTAGAAAATTTGTTTGGTACCTTTAGGCAACAGCATAATGGGAATAATATAAATCCGACACCAGTCCAATTTTTTTGGTCGTTTAAAAAAATATTTTGCCAGAACCATTTTCATTATTCTGAAAATGCAAACTGTATACAAGACTTAGATGGTATTTTTAGTAATATGAATGAAAAACCCATTGACAATGATTCTATTAAAGTATTATTTCCTGAAAAAACGCCTTTTAAATTTAAAAATCCACTTCAAATAAATTCAACTGAGTATAGAAATTTATCGCTCCCGGAACAAAACACGTTTACTTATACATGTGGATTTTTAATGAAAAAATGTATCGAAAACCATAGTTGTGTTATCTGCATTAATTACGCTAGAATCCAAAAACAAATCGATACCTCATTATTACTTTGTTATTTTAAAGCATACCAAGACAAAGATAATTCCGCTTTGGAAATCTAATGATGCCACACCACGAGTTCTACGATTTTATTCACCAGCTAGATAATATTTTTATTAGTCGATTACCCTTAATTTCCATTGAAAAAGAAGTAGGAAAAAAATTAAAATTAGCTATGCTATATTTATCATTTAACCATCCGTGTACCTATTTTAATAAAGATTATTTAGTAGATTATTTTATAAGATTCCGGATTCATGCTGCGATTAAATTTTTAAATAAAAATTTAATATTAGAAAAAATTAGAAAAAATAGGAAATTGGCCATTTTAAAACATTTGTAAATAATTAATTTAATTTGAAGACGACTATTTTTTTAACACTTTTTTATAATTTTTATTACCATTTTACTAATGATTTGACTATTTTATTTATGTGACGTTGGTGTGATTTACTAATTTTTACTGTTTATTTTTTATTTATTTTAGATGTAAAAAAAGGGGGGAAATTCGCTATTTTAAAACATGAATAAATAAATCAATATGCATTATTTTAATTTATCATTAATACTTTTTATACTATTTAACTAACGATTGTACTATTTTATCTATGTGACCTTTGTGATTTATTAATTTTTACTAATTATTTCATGTTCGATATTTTTAATTTATTATTTACGTTTTAGCTTCAAAGTAGAGCGGCGATGGTGTTGGTTTTACTCTAGTGTATGCTTTTTTTGTGTCTGTATACACTGTAACTTTTTTAATACTGGACCAATTCTTTCGAGTAGCAACTCTAAAAATCACAAATTTTATCTAGTCGGTACTTGGGAGGGGGGGTAAAAGTTGAAAAAGTTTACTTCTTTACAGTTAAAATTTGGAAAAACAAAAAAAATCACAAGAGTTTTTTAGTTAGAACTTTTACTGGCTATAATTTCGTAAAAAAGAGTTGGATCGAGTTGAAATTTATAAGGAATACTTTTTTAGTATGCCCGCACTTGTCAGTTGTATCAAATTTAAATTATACCCATTTTCCACCCCCTCGGATGAGTTTAAAATGGCCAATTTCCTATTTTTTCTATTTTTTTCTGATATTAAATTTTTATTTAAAAATTTAATCGCAGCATGAATCCGGAATCTTATAAAATAATCTACTAAATAATCTTTATTAAAATAGGTACAAGGATGGTTAAATGATAAATACAGCATAGCTAATTTTAATTTTTTTCCTACTTCTTTTTCAATGGAAATTAAGGGAAATCGACTAATAAAAAGAAAACTTTGAATTTACACAAGCATAATAATTTATTTATTTTACATTTTTAAAAATATCATATATGGAAACTTGCTATTAAAATAACAATTGCAAGACAAAAATAATTTTAGGAGAGGACTTGGATTGTAGAGATTTAAAGTGTTAAGACCTACACAAATGTAATTATTAAAGGCTGTCATTTATAGTGTAAAACAAAGTACAACCCAATCAAATTTTAGAAATAACTAATAAGTAATAATTATTAAATTGTGGTGCTGGTAGTAGTTTAAAGCTATTACCTGGTAGTGTTATTTGTCAACGACATGATGCCTTTGCATAAAATTAATGCATGTACCATTGCTATTAATTGGTTACAACCATCTAATGAGTTAACATTATAATATTGTTTGTCTACTAATACTTCAATATCATTACAAAATATCTAAAAATGATATAATTTGATACAATTTGAATCTTATTACAAATATCAATGAGGATTTTAGAGACCAATGTTTAAGTGCAACATTTAATAAAAATAAGTAAATGAACAACAAACTAAATTATAATCTTAATATGAAGATATTTCACCTCGATTAATTATTTCAATCAACAAGCAATTATGATTAAAATAATAAATTCAAGAGTTTCGAGTAAATTTAAGATACTATTTTATATAAGAGAGAATGTGTTTAAGAATTGCACTTTTACTTTATCTTTCAGGTCAACAAGTATTCCTTATTAATTAAAACACCTCTTACTTTCAATGTTAAATTTTCAAAAATTACAATTTTTCTTTTTGAATTTAACTGGCATCTTTCAAAAACTATTTCAGTTTCAAATACACCATATTTCCATTGACCATCAGGTTTTTTTAAATCTCCAGAACTCAATTTCTTTAATTGTTCAAAAGAAAATGGTACTATGGGTGTATGGTTGGGAATAATGTTAGGTTGAGTGCACTTTTCTTGGCCATTATTTTTTCTTTTTATTGGAGCTAATTTCTCATTAAGTGCCTTTCTTTTTTTAATATTTTTAGTGAAATATGATGGAAGATTAGGGAATATAGTGAGGATTGATCCAGTTTTTAAAACTGGTCTTTCTCTCTCAATTTTACTAATAGTGCCATCTGGAAGTATTCTCTCAAAAAATCTTTCAATACATTCTTCCATAAAGTGTATTTCACATACACCATAGTTATGCGTAAGAGCTTTATCTGCTCTAGGGATAGCCAATGCCCATTTTTTTAAAAGATATGAATCCTATAGATATACATATTAAATATATACATAAAAATAGCTAAAAATTAGATTTCTGAAAATAATATTCAGATTTATTTGAATGCATAAGTCTTTGGAGCAGAAAATACACTCTTATTTTTTATACCTTTAATTTTATTTGTTTTGTTTGTTAAACAATCGTGCGACTCTTTTCGGGACGTTTTTCTGATATGCGGCCGTTTGAGTTTGGTCTCCTTCTTCTAGTCTTCATGCACCTAACACTACGCTTAACAATTCTTATCAGTACTTAAGTGATTAGTGCCCTTGCCCAACGCCGTAACCGGGCACCCCCATCGGAATATGTGACCTACCCGGTCGCCGGCCAGCTACTAGTAATGTAAATATTATTATTTATTAAAAAAGTGTTAACTGATAACATATCATCAATGTCTTTAAAGATTACGACAACAGACAACCATTGATTTAAATACAATACTTGATAATGCTATACTATCACCAACAAGAGTAGTGAACCGTGATTGTGGTCACAGGTTGCTGGTTACCTTCAATATTTTAATCTGCCGCCAGCTGTGGAAAACTACTTATGCGCGTACGCCATCTATACAATAAACCGTCAACTGCCGGTTTAACTGCTATACTCAGAATTGCGATCTACGATTCTCGCATGTAATCGTTTCCTACCGATTACACAGTATATATACAACTACGAGTCGTTGACAATATCGCCGAGGTCGGTGGGGGTGGTAACGCATCAAACTCACCATAAGGTGACATAAGTCCGTGGTTGTTGTAAAACAACCGGAGAGGACGGGCGAGAGGACACCAGACAAGACACGCACACCACACGAATGTGTGACGGGGCCTCAAGGAAGCGTCAGTCTCGACGAACGGAGAGTCCTCTCGACCCCCATAACTAAAAGGGTATCGTAAGCTTGACACTTGTCGTGCCCATACACCGTGCCTTACATCACTACCCAGTGAATGTTGCTGTGAGATGATAGGTCTCCTGAGGAGACCACTCACACAGGTGTCTCATGCGTTTCACCTCTCATCGTCGCGACCTCGGTAAAAAATTTTTTTCCAAAAAAATTTTAATTCTATTTACGTAAATATTGTATAGGAATTTATTAGACGCTTTGGTTTTTTAATACAGAACTTTATGTACGTAAAAAAAGTCCATCGGGGTAGGATGCGGGCGGGTAGTGCGAGCACAATTATTGTCGTAGGAGTGATACCACTGCGAGAAGTAAAAATTTTTGTTTAATAAATCTTTGGGACATCTAAAGACGTCTCGATAAATATTTGTGTAAAGATATGTATAACATGCAATACCATATGTATAATAGGACTTCATAAAAAAAGTACTCACTAATATATACATAAATATCTAGTATTTTTAATTTCAATACTAATTGTAGAACTAAAACTTCTAATATTTGAGAGGAAAATATTAAGAAAGATATATGGTCCCATACTAAACCCGGAGTCAGGAAGTTATGAAAGAAGAAAAAATGAGGACATTGAAATCATTTTCAATAAACCAAACATACAAGCATGTCTGAAAGGTAAAAGGCTAGAGTGGGCTGGCCATGTATGGAGGGCAAAGGGTAAGCTAATTCATAAAGTACTAATCAATAAACCCAACGGAAAGAGACCAAGAGGAAGGCCCCGTCAGCGATGGCTCGATAGAGTAAACAAAGATCTGGAAAGCTTAGGAACGACAAAAATTGAAGATTTGGCTGTCGAGGTTTGTATTTCTGAGGAATGTAAAATAACTATTGAACTACATTCAAAATTAAAAACTGCCTTGATTTCGCTTTACTAATATCTTACTTTACAAGAAAAACAATAATTTATTTTATTTCATTGTATTTGGACTTTGGTAGTTAACAAAATGTGTTTCTTAGTATACTAGTTTATACTTTATACTGTGCAAGATTTATATTATGTAATTTTTAAATATATTATTATACAAAAATTCGAAAAATCGTGTTTTATTTTTATTACTAAACAACTCAAGAAAAAGAACAATTTTATAAAACATACCAGATGGTATACACGGATGCCTCAAAATCTGTAGAAGGAATTGGTATTGCAATAATATTTCACAACAAAAAAGTACTCCACAAACTGCCTGATAGATGTTCCATTTTTACTGCTGAAGCAGCAGCAACACTAACAGCCATACAATTAATAAATACTGAAGAAAATTCAAATTATGTTATCTTTAGCGATTCTCTAAGTGTACTAAATGGTATTAAAAATAGATTCAACCCGGGAGATATTATAATCAAAATCCAAAATGAACTTGAGGAAGCAAAGGACGGAAGAAACCAGATTACACTCACCTGGATCCCTGGACATTCCGGAATGGATTGCAATGTCAGGGCAGATGATCAGGCCAAAATCGCCACTTATGATGACATCAAACCACATATCAAAGAGATATCATACAATGAATGGGCAACGATATGGAGACAAAAAAAGAAAACTTAGGGAAATTAAAAGTTCAATCTCCAAATGGCCAAATCATAACCTTAAGAAAACGGAAGAGTCGACCATAAACAGGCTGAGAATCGGACACACGGCTGTAACGCATGGATACCTCATGGGAAAAGAGGAAGCCCCAATATGCGAAACATGCGGTACCAAAGTGACCGTCAAACACATTCTTACTGAATGTCGCAAATACTTAATACTTAGACAACAACTCAAAATAATCGAACAACTTGACGAATCATTGGGACCGGAGGAAAAGAATATATTTAAAATGTTAAAATTCTTAAAAACAACCCATCTGTACAATAAATTATAAAAAAAAAAAGTGTAAATAATAACCGTAAATCATTTTTTAACTAAGACCTATGTTTTCGATGTTTTGTAAAGATCAATAAAAAAAAATTGTTTTTATAAAGCTGAAGATACAAAAAACATATTAATTAGTAAAATAAAAAAATAACAAGAATAGTCATAATATAAATAAATACGCATTAAAAAAATAAATAATTCTTAATTAGCCCTAAAGTGTTGTCTCTGACAAAATATTTTAACGTTTATATAAATTATAATAATACTGAAGGGGGAGAATAATTTTATAAAACTCAATATAAAAAAACATAATAATTACTACTTAAAATAACAAGAATAGTCATTATATAATCACGATGAATATAATAATATAAATAAGTACGTAATAACAAAAAAAAAAATCTTAATTACCCGTAAATGTTGTCTCTAACAAAATATTTGAATATTTACAAAAATTAAATTAATACTTTAAAAAAAATGTGAACAAAGTTTTGTTAATTTTTATTAACCAACTGCCTATTTTGGTAAAAGAAAACTAAAGTGTTAACGTTTTCAGATAAAAGACAGCTTCTTTTCGAATTAACAATGTTACCAGCTGTTGAGAACCAACGTTCAGAGCTCGTTGATGTAGCTGGTAACTTTTTGACTTTGACATTTTTATTTTCACGACTACCAAAGAGTATACAGTGCAATATGCAAGTGCAACTAATAACTGTATTATATAGGTTGTCATCTATAGACTATAATGGGTGGGTGGTCATTTTTATCAGACGACTGATAGTAAGTTATTATTAATACAAATATTCAATAATCGCGTTAATCGGTACTCGACCGGTCTAGTCGGCAACAGAATACGGCACGCTTCTAAAAGCTTACGCCGTCAATGGATGTGAAAATATTCGTAAACCACGATGGCTTAATCGACGATTTCAGTTGACATTTGTTTCATAATTTATAGTTGTATACTAAATGATGATTATTAATAAACATTTTACAGCATACTAATAAAACATTAATGAACAACGAGTATACTCAATATAAACAATAATTTGTATTTAAATTTCAATTTGTTAATTAATTTGTTAAATACCCGTGTACATAATAGAACCCGGGTACCTGGGTTTATAACATTACTCGGGTACCCGTGTATTTTTATTACCTGTTCAAAACCGTAACCTCTAGTTAAAACCATACTACAAGAGTTTTAATTGATAATTTGAACAATAAATAGCCAAGAAAACAAAATACCATTTAAAATAAAAACGTTTACATATATGTATAAAGCATTTAGTACAATCACTATCAACACATAAACCAGATTATTAGTAAATCACAAAACAACTCTTAAGACCCTGTACAATATTTTTGGTAATTTCCAAAACTTGTTCTACCAGTTGCCCCTTTTGCCTTTTATATGTTCTTGTAGGGAATTTTAAGAGTTTTAAACAGTACGACGGTTGGCGGACAGCCGCCAGGATAATAAAACATTAGAAGTTGTCTCGTGTAAAATGACACATAAACCACAATCAAACGTTATCCAACTAGTCTAAAAAAAAATAACTATTAAAATATAAATAAAAAAAATGGTTTTTATACTTTTTTAGGTAATAGAAAATTAAATAAGAATTTTACTAAAATAAAAAAACCAATTGCGTTCGGGGAGCTAAATCACATATTGGGTGGGCTAATACCCCTTTAGCCCACCCCTAAGTCCGCCTATGACTGTATGTACTAGAATATTACATCACATAGATTTTATATAAAAATAAACATACATTTTAATAGAGATAAACGGTTGTTAATAATCAATAGATTGTTTATTTAATTTGTAAAATTGCTATAGATTTAATAAATATAATTCGTGTGATGAAACATTTGATTTTCCTTTTTCTAATATTTCCATTATACTTTGTTGGATACATATTAGTCCTATCATTTACCTTTACCATCTACCATTTACCTTACATTATGTTAATAACTTAAAAATTGTATAATCAAACCTAATATTAAAGCAATTTATCTATTATGACCTTATAATTTCCCTGAAAATCTACTATTTTTCAACTTTAATATCAAGAGCAATTATTTTATAAAGTATACAGTTGTACACACTTTAAACTAATAGTAATAATAGTAATAATAATAATATTTGATAAAACTAGCAAAAAAGCTTCATGGAAAAATTTCACAAGTAGTATCAACGAAAAAGCCGACACCAAACTTGTTTGGAACAAAATCCAGTCTCTAAAAGGACTCAGCAGAAGTCGAAGAATAAACCTTATCGATAATAATACCGACCTACTAATGAATAACGACCATTTAACTGCGAATAAATTGGGAGAATACTTCTACAACAACAGTAGCGATAAAAACTATAAAACCCAGTTTCAAATTTATAAACAAAAATGCGAAAACGAAAATATTCCCAACTATATAGACAGTAATCTTACGGATCAAATCCAACTAAACAAATCAATTTCCATCCAAGAACTCAAATACACTTTAGCAAAATGCAAAAGTCATGGCCCCGGGCCTGACAATATACCTTACATATTTATTCAAAACTTTGGACCAAATGCCCTAAAATTAATGTTAAAAATATTCAATAGAATCTTTATCGAAGGCTCTTGGCCAACCACTTGGAAAAATGGTACTATTATACCTATCATCAAACAGGAAAAAGATAAATTTAAACCAGAAGGATATAGACCAATAACGCTATTGAACACCATGTGTAAGATATTGGAAAAAATGTTGAACTATAGACTAACATGGTTCCTAGAAAAATACAACTACCTAGCCAAACAACAAAGTGGTTTCAGAAAAAATAGAAGCACAATTGACAACCTCTTTCAAATTAAACATGAAGTAAATCAGACCTTCGAAAACAAGCAAATCATGGGACTAGTGAATTTGGACATTTCCAAGGCTTACGACTCAACATGGAGACATAACATATTAATTAAACTCAATAAAATTTTATCCAAAGGCAAAACACTCAATATTATAACCGACTTTTTAAAAGACCGCACATTCCAAGTAAAAGCAAATAGCCAGATGTCCGACGAATTTTCTCAAGAAAATGGAGTACCCCAAGGCTCAGCCCTGTCAGTAACGTTATTTCTGTTAGCCATAAACGACATAACCCAATGCTGTTCCCTACCCGTAAAATGCAACCTTTTCGCAGACGATTTTAACTACTCATGTCGAAGCAGTAATATTAACTCTGTACAAAAATTCCTTCAGATAACCACCAACAATTTAGAAGAATGGGCCGGAAAGACAAGTTTTAACTTCTCTCCAAAAAAATCAAACTGCATAGTATTCACAAAAAAAAGAAAGGTAGGCAAACTTCATATCACTCTCGACGGCATGCCAATTCCCAATAAAAAATCGGTTAAAATCCTTGGCCTTTTCTTTGATCGCCGTCTCACGTGGGCATCCCATATACAATACCTTAAGACCTCAACCAACAACGCTCTAAACTTACTCAAAATACTATCCCACACAGCTTGGGGAGGTGATTCCGAAACACTAATCAAAATCCACAGATCTACTATACAGTCCAGACTAAACTATGGATCCATTATGTTCAAATCTGCAACATACTCTATCCTAAAAGCAATTGATACTATCAACAACAGCGGACTAAGACTAGTTATAGGTGCTTTCCGCAGTAGTCCAATTTTAAGCATGTATAACATAACTGGAGAACCCCTACCCGAGATAAAAAGGATAGACTTAGCTCTAAAATACATGGTTAGAACAGTTAGAGCCAACTTCAACTCACTCACAGAGGAAAATACTGAAATTCACCAAGAATTAAAAGTAAACGGTATTAACACGGCTAAAATAATTTCAAGAGAACCAATAACCCATCCCCCTTGGATATCTCATTACGCAATACAGAACTAACTTCCCTCCTAAAACCTCAAACTCCTCCCCCAGTATACAGAAGTCACTTTCTCAGTATACTAGAACAATATAAAGACTACCAAAAAGTATACACCGATGCTTCTAAATCCCAAGACGAAGTTGTCTTTTCAATAATATTCCAAAACAGAAATCTATTATTCAAACTTCTAAGCACATGTTCCATATTCTCGGCTGAAGCAATTGCGATACTAGAGTCAATAAAAAGAATAATACATGAAGAGGACTCATAACATATTATTTTTAGTGACTCCCTAAGTACCCTCAACAGCATCAAAAACCAATTCCATCCCGGCGACATCGCAATAAAAATTCAAAACAAACTAAACGAAGCCTCAACTATGAACAAACAAATCACGCTCATGTGGGTTCCTAGACATGCAGGCATCAAAGGAAACGAGTTAGCCGACCAACAGGCTAAAATTGCCACCCAAAATGCGGAAGTAACATTAATAACAGGGCTAACATACGATGACTTAAAACCCAGATTAATGAGATGTCCAACGACAAATCGCTTCAGTTATGGAAGCAACAAACTACCAAACTGAACACTATTAAAAGTTCCACTAACCGATGGATTAACAGCTTTCTAAAAAGGAAAGATGAAACAATACTAAACCGCA